TCTGTTTTATGGATTCCATTTCTTTCCTATGTTGAGCGTTTATTTATTCCATTTCTTTCTTATGCTGGGCCTTCATGGCTTCTATCATGGTCCTGAGCTCATCTACCTTTTTGTCAGTTTCTGCTCTAGAGTATCGAATCATGACTTCCATTTTGCTCACTATCTCTATGGTTATCTGGGAAATTATTTCTGTTTTGAATTTTTCTAGAGCCTGATTGATCTGTTTGGTTACTTCCTGTGCTTTTAGTTCAGGGTGTCCTGGTGGTTCACTATTGGCCTTTTCACCCTCATTTGCCCTACTGTTTGCCATTGGTAAACTGGAAGTCTGTCCTTGTGTCTTGCTTAAGTGTTTTCTCATTTTAATTTTTGTTGTTGGACTGTCCTTGGTTCAATCTCTGGGTTATCACCCAAATCTTCCTGATATAGTTCCGCCCTAACTTCTGTGTCTGTAACGACCCACAGACATTCTCATCTTCATAACATCAGAGAAAACAGCTCATCAAATCAACGGCAATGCTTTACCCCAACTGATACAATCAGCAACCCATTAAGATCAAGCACAACTTGGACACTGACCACCTGTGGTAGTCACTAGTCTATCACCCTTAAATCATTTGAATTAAATTGAAATCAAGAAGCAGTCCAGACCATGTCTGCAGTGAACAAAATTTCAATATAGTGTATTTACCATTTAATGGCTCTGACAGAGCAAGGATGCAGGACCCCTGATCTCAGTTAGCTGACTGCTGAACCCCATGACACTGACTGACCTTGGGCTGCAAGGCCCAGATTGAGTTCCCCATCCTTCTGAATGGTTGAACTCTGCAACGTTCTATTACAGGTTTCCCACGTCCTTTCTGTAAAGATGTTCAAAGTTGGGAACTCAGACAAATACCCTTGATGACCACCTCTGTCTTTGCAGAGTGGGTCCAAAGACTGGCACAGTCAGGAGGTCTGAGAGTGCGGGTGGGGGGGCTTACGGGGGTTCAGGGGTGCCCGTGTGGCTACCTTCCCGGTGCTTGAGTGATGGCAGCTAGGTCGGGAGCTGGCGTGGTTCTCCTTCCCAGGGTGGATCGGGGCCCAGGCTTCCTCCCGGCACTTGAGCGATGGCTGCTGGGTCAGGAGCAGGCATGGTTCTCCTTCCTCCACTGTTTAGATTATTAGTGCCATGAAACCAGGGACCTTTGCCTCCTTGTTTGTATATTGCAGTGTCTGAAATCGCAGAATGTTGCTTGCCACATGGTGCAGTGAAAGCATATACCCAGGACCTGACCTAAACAAGATGAGGAAAAAATTCATTGCTGGTAAGGTGACATTTCTTTTTTCATTAGGTTTATTGGTACATTTTAGGTACACAGTGCAGTTACATTCATCATTGGGATCTTGTACCTTTACATGACAGGTCTTAGTTCTCATTTTTGCCCCATAGCCCTGCCCTCCTGGGAAGGAAACATTTAAATGGACAAATGAAAGGTAAAAAAAGAACCAACCAGGAAAAATGAAAATAAATCCAAATATGACTTAGGTTGTTTTGGAAAGTATGGTTGTTCTCTAAACAATTCCTTGCTGAACTTATTGCTTCAGCATGAGCAATATAATTAATATTCAAGAGGTAGCGTTGTTATCTCCAGAATAAAATTGTTTAATTTTGTTAATTCTTTTCTTCCAAAATAAAAATCTGCCATATTTTTCACCTTAGAATAATTTGTTGTTTATTTAAAATTCAACTTTTTCATCCCTACACATCAATGACTTTAACTGAGAAATAAAAGTTTTTATTTATCTATTTTTATGTATATTAGGCTTTCTATCTTTTTGAAACATTTTATTATAATTAAATTTATTTTCAATGAACATATAAACATAAAAGTGTATATATTACTGTGGTAGAATGTGGTACTTTCATATATGCATAATCTGTACAATGTTTAAGCAAGTAAAACATATCTAACTCAAACATTTATTATTTCTTAAAGGTGAAATCATCAAAAACTCTTTCTTTCAGATTTTTAAGATATACAATGAGAAACTTCTATCTATAATCATCCTACCACTCAACGGTACACCAAAATTCTTACTACTAACAGAGGGAGATGGAGTACTCATTGATCAATCTTTCCTCATTACTCCCTACTCTTCCTAGTCTCTAGTACTCACCATTCCACTCTCAACGTCTGTATTCCATCAATGAAAAGGATGATGCCATAATTTTCTTATTAGGACCACTTATTTCTTGTAACATAAGGTTCTCTGATTCCATTCAAGTTGTCACAAATGGCAGAGTTTGAGGGGATTTTTTTGCCAAACACTACCCTAGTATATGTACAGGCCACATTTTCTATCTCCATTCATCATTTGATGGACATTTTGGCTGTTTTCATCTCTTATTCAATAATGTGAATAATGCTGAAATAAACATGGGAGCACAGATGTCTCTTTGGCATGCTTTTGGATCTTGACCCAATAATCCTTGCCCATGCCACTGTCCTGAAACATTTACCAGTGTGAAAAAATAAATATAGACCAATGAAACAGAATATAGAGCCTGGAAGTAAATCCATGTGTCTATCATCAATTGATTTTCAACAGAACTGTTAAAAATATATTGTGCTAGAAAAATTAAATATCCACACTCAGAAGAGTGAAACTAGACCCTTATCTTTCATCAGTTACAAAACTCAACTGAAAATGTTAATAAAAGTTGATCTCAGAGAAGTTGGTAGTACAGTTACAGTTAAGATTTAAAAATGAAAATTCTTAAGAAATGAATAAAAAGAAAAATAATGTAATTATTTTCAGAATAATAGATAATACTGGTTTGAATTTCTTATCCTTGTAAACTAAATTACCACCATAGGCACCAAATTGAAAAGGTGAGAGAAAGACTGACATCTAACACAAATTCTCCCCAAATGTAGATATTTGTGCCCAATATTCTAATTTCTACACATATTAATTTCTCCAAAACAATCAAAGACACTCTCACAGTAATAACAAAATTCTTTTTTTTAAATGGTTGTGACTCCTTATCTCAAAGTATGAAATTCAAAATTCTAATGTTCAATCAGTCTCCAAGCAGTTAAATCATCTTCTGAAATCTTATTTATTTCTCATCTCTTCTACAAAACTGTTTTGGAATAAGCTTCTAGATTTTATTTCAAAGACAAGGCTCATCTATGGCATTCTTCACATGAGGGAATGTAAATTTATTATTCATTGGAAGCAACAGAATTCAGGTAATGACTGAGGTAATACCCAGTTATGTTTTGGGCTAGGTTTTCTGCATGCTATAAAACTCACCACATAAGTAACAGTAGAAACTTATAGGAGTTTTGGCTGCAGTGGCTGACTAAGTGCATCTGACATTTCACAGGAGCAAGACAGTTTTCACTACACCTACAGCACCTTGCTATTTACTCCCTCTTCTTTTCATGGGGCCAATTAATATTTCATTGTTTGAAAGAAAATGGTATTCAACACATTGAAATCTTGGTGTGAGTTCTTTGAATATAATACTTCAGTTGTAGATCTAATCAAAGTGTGTGATGTTTTATCAGATCTTTTTCAAGAAAATCACCGACTTCTGCTTTCTGACCACACCTGTCTCGGGTGCACTGAAGAGTCTGTAATAAGGCATCTGCCTCACCTCCTCCTGTTCAAGCAGATTTTTTCCACCTCTATCCATCTTATAAATATTTTTAAATTTCTCAAAAATTTTAAATTGCTCACTCAAATGGTTTTGAGTCTGTTTTCAGAGTTAATGGATTTTGTTACCCTGTTAACTAGTTTTATATTTGTAGTAGCGAAACTGGCAAAATCAATAGTTTTTTCCCATACTTTGAAAAAATTTTATTTGTTGCATTTTACTTAACCAGATTGTAAACCTTGTACTCTTGTTTTACACTGTTGTATTTTTGTTATTTTTCCATTCTCAACCCCAAAGCATGTGTGTATTATCATTGTTGTTATTAAATTTTAAACTTAATATTCTATGATTAATCAAGTCTTGCTTTTTGTGGTATCCATATGCCATACTCATAAACTGGTCTTATAATTTTAAAGTGGTCAACAAAATAATGTATATGAAGCACTAATATAGTACTTAATGAAAAGTGAATATTAAAAAATGGCAAGGTAGCAAAAGTAATTTCTTGATCGGTCTGAGTGAGTTTTCATGGGGCTTTATTGAAATTCCCTGAGAAATAGAACTACCAAATCCTAAAAGATAATTTAAAGGTACAGCACCTTGAATGATGATACGCTTGTAATTTAAAATAGATGAAAACGTTATTACAACTTTAAGAGTTTTTAATTTTTTAAAAAAGCTTGTAGGTTTTACTTTCAAAGAAGTGAAATTATATTGCAAAAAATACTTTATGTACTTATATTCACAACTATCTGATATTTAATATATAATCTGATATTTAATATGTCATATTAAATATATTTTTCATATTAGTGCATAAGAATATAATTTTCATCAATACAACTATTAACTTTGCCTACTTAATCCATTTATATCTATTTCCTGCTAACTTTCTATTTTTTACTTCAATTTACCCTTGGGTTTCACTCTTCCTCTCTCTTGCTTTTCATTCGGTCTTGCTCTTTCTGAATCTCACCATTACCATTTCCTTCCCATCTGTTCTTTCCCAGTTATCCAGGAATCTGAATGAAGAATTATTTTCCACTGTCCCTTACTACTCACTGGTTCTCCCTGTGCCTTGTCCTCAGGTAAAGCAGTCAAGCCCGGGCTTCCTTACGTGGTGAAATATTTAGATTTTCTCCAAGTTTCCTTCCCTCTACTTAAAATTTTTTTTTTCTAACAGATTTCAAATCCTATTCATTGTCTTATGAAACCCTTCTTTCCATCAATTCCAAGGAGTATTTTCTAGGTTGTGATGATATTAAATATCCATTTTTATTCCAGGTTTATTTCTATATAGTACAAGAGCACATTGATTCAAATGCAAATAATCACTGAGATAGCAGAATCTCAATATTAATAAGCAGGCAAAGATTTTATTCCCCTGAAGTTATATGAGTTTCATGTAAGTGTGGATAGAAAAGATGACAAGACTGAGAATTCAGCACAGATATCAGGAAGTGCTTTCTGCTTTTCTGTGACACTCAGAATGTTTGCTGTGAGCCTTCCCAGTTCTGTGGCATCTCTCAGAATACCTGAGCAAAGGGCACTCATGTAAAAGAGTTTACTGGAAGTTGGATATTCTAACCATCACATTCTCCAAGTACATTTAATGAGGCCTCACTAAAGAAGCACAGTGCGAAAAGTGTAATTATTTTATACTTATTTTTCCATCATTTTGAACATTTTGGTTAAATATGTTGCAACTGTTTATTAATTTTATGGCAGACTATTCACTGGTAGAGTATTTCCTCATGATCTCAGCATTTTGAATTTTGCTTTTCCTCATTCCCTTGATAACTTTATTGATCTTTACCATAAATTCAAAGCTGTAATCATGAATTTATCTCATATGGAAAATATCTTTCTCCCTGATAAACAATCTAGTCACTACTTCACGGATCTGCTTGGTCTTCACTCCATAAACAATTGGATTCAAGGTAGGAGGCAACAACAGGTAGAGGTTGGCTATAAAAATGTGAACATGATGAGGTATGGTTTGTCCTCCAAAGCGGTGAGTGAAGAAGTTGAAGAAGGCTGGGACGTAGGTGATGACGATAGCACAGATGTGAGATGTGCAGGTGCTAAAGGCTTTCTGGCGAGCATCTTCTGATGACAGATTCAGTACAGCACGGATAATCATGGTGTAAGACATGGCGATACAAAACATATCAAAGCCTCCAATCAGTCCAGCAACTGTGAGACCATAGATAGCATTAATCTTGACATTGCCACAGGATAATTTGGCCACAGACATATGATCACAGTAGGTGTGATGGAGAAGGTTGCCCCTGCAGTAAGGAAGGCACTTG